AGGTGAGTACTTCGTTGCTTTCCTGAATTTCTGTTTCAATGGCTGAGGATAGAAACAGGGTTAAGGGCTGAGAGGCTAAGAAAGAGCGAAAGACATCACCCCCAGCCATGCCCTAGGCCTGCAGCACTTGTCTGAAAATGCATTTCTCAGCAAATATTGTCAGCACTCAGCTAGCTGCATTTAGGCTGTGCCGAAACCCACCCTCTCAGTGCCTCATAAAACCAAGCCCAACCCAGGCCATATAGGGTGTTTGAGCTCCCTTGCATTCAGTGTTTCTAAGCTCCATCTCCTCCAGACAATGCCACTGAAGTTGCTGGGAGTTTTGCTGCTGACGTCAATGGGAGCAGACGCAAGCTCATAACGTATGCGCATCATGTTTGGGAAGGGAAATTGCACGCTGGCCTATTTAGCAGCATCAAGATTCCTTGCTGTGCTTGGCAGCCTACAAACAGCCCTAAATGCCTGGCATCAACAGCAAGCAGCAGCATCGTGCAAGGTCCCTGGCACAGAGAAGCGCCTTCGATGAAAGACATCCGCTTGCTTTAGCAATGAGAGCGATGCCCAGGCCCCAACCTGATAACTGCTTGGACGTGGGGCCAATCAGTCAGTCATTCTCCACCAACTCAGAGGGTCCCAACCTTTTGGTGACAGCACTGAATCTGCTCACTGGCCAGCACCTTTCAGCAAAGTCATTAGATTTGAAAGCTTAAAATGGAAGCGAGTGCGTGGAGCAGGAGAGCATTAAAGGCAAGCCAGGACTGGGATCTTCCTAGACATACGTTTGCTTTGAAGTCAGGTGCTTCTTCAGCACATCCTAGACTCCCTCAAGGTAGCCTCTGTCCCAAAAGCAGTAAAGCATTCATGCAGGGTCCCCGGAGCACTTCACAGCCCACACTAAATCCAGGCTGGCATAGCATAGCTAAGCTAGCCAGGTAGGTCACATTTCCTGACTGCACTGCATGACATGAATGAAGTGCTAAGAGGACAGGTTGCTGTTTGAGATCCTGGTGGCAGCGCGCTAGTTTTTGCTCTCCTGCTGCAAGCTCAGATCTCAGCAAGAATCCAAAGCACCTGTGGGTTTGGTGGGTGCTTGCCCCAGTGCCACAGGTTCATAAAATGCCCATGTTACTGGCATGGAAAGTCCATAGAATGAAATTATAACACTGATTTCACCCCAGGTTGGCCAGGAATAAATGTAGCTTCTATTACACAGCAGACTCATATAGCAAAAGTAATGACTGGAGCTGAGAAGAATGCAGTGCAATTCAGTGAAGTGGTGGAGACAGTAACAAATCACTTAACTGCAAATGGCAAGGATTAATACAAGGCAGGCGATTCTCCTTCACGGTTCTCATAACCAGCAAAACCAATTTTCTAGGTTTCTGTGGGCAACATTTTTCCTCCAAGCTCTTTGCTTAGCAGGACATTTCATGCATCTGCAAAGCAGAGCCTCTGGTTCGAGACTTGCTTAGGTTGGGAAAATCTGCACCGGCGTAATTGCATCCCATTCCTCATGCTAAGCAAAGCTCACATCAGTATGTGATGCTGCTTCACAGCCTCTCACTACTGAGTACACAGCTCCCCTCCTGGGCACCATCCCTCACTCAGGAGTCAGCAGCCCTTCCTCCCCTCCACAAATCATGTTCTGTCAATGCCTGCACAAAACCTCTTACTTTCCATCCTGAGCATCATTTCCAGAGTTTCTTCAAAGATTGCATTTGCCTCCATGCTAATATTCTGGATCCTGCTGCCCTGTACTCCCTGGACTGAAGTTTCCCCCATCCGCCTCTTCAGCTCGGCATACTTTTGTTTCACCTGATCAAATCCCTGTGAGAGAGAGAATGAGCAGTGCACACGAGTTCAAGCAGATGCACAAGCAGTCCAGTGTTGAATCTGCCTGTGGAGCTTTGCATCGTCGATTGTCCTTGTTACTATTATATAAGAGCACAATAAATGAATGTGATGCTCTAGACAACAGTCAGGCTGTGTCTTGGTCTCAGGGTATCCCTAAACCCATGACTGCAGGTGACTGAGAGGATCTGAGAGGGGCTGGACAAGCCCTGTTTCTTCTGCTCTTCCTCTAAAGCATCTGTTACTCCCTGCTGTCAGAAGCAAAACATGGGCCATATGGATCATTGGTCTGACATAGTGAGGTAGTTCTTACTTCTTTATAACCTTCACATGTGTTGGTGGTTTGGTGGTATCTGGGGCACAACACACAATAGGGATCACCCCCTCTCAGAAAGGACATTGCGAGTGCAAACAGATGCTGCATTTACCCTGGGGTAAACTATTGTATCCTGGAGGAAAGTGGGAGTGTATACACCTCCATGCCCATTGTTCCAGGATAAATCCTAAAAAAAGTTTCCCGGTTAAGAGGTAGTAACAGGTTATCCTGGGATATTGCCAAATACGTCTGTACAGTTCTGCTGCAATCCCACCACTGAAGCAATGGCAGAAAAGCAGTAATGTGTTCAGCCACTCACTGAACCCTGATTAGAAAGGTGATGTATGTACACACCCCTCCAGGAATATTTTTGTTATCCCGGGACAAACGCAACAAGTCCTTCCTGGGCTCCCCGGGATCTCTGCATACCTGTTGCGCTCTCCAGGCTTGCTCGCTGGCACCTGCTGCACTGTCCCATGCATCTGCAGCCCGCAGCCGGTTCTGCTCTACCTTATGCCGCAGCTGGCTGAGCCTCTCTGTGAAGCCATCCAGCTGGGCAGTAACCTGCCTCAGGGTCTTCTCAGCTGGGCCAAGGACACTCTGGATCTAAAAGCCAACAATACTGGTTATTTCAAAGAAAAAAACTGATCCCAGAAACACATGGATGAAATGGCCAGTGTTGTGGGCTGCTCTTAGTACACTATAGCTGATCTGCTGGTGACTACAGCAGCTACCAGTCAGTCATCCAGGGGCCTTTGTGCTAGGCAGTGCACAGCTCAGCACAGCAAGGACAGCCTCTGTCTCTGGGTGCTCGGAGCCCAGGACTGTGACAAGATTTACTAGGGGGATATGCCAAGAAACAGAGCGAGGCTGCAGGGGAAGAAAGCATGGGGGCTAGGGGGAATCAGACTTTTTACAACTATGCCAGCTCCTTGGACACACTGGTGGAGTCTCATTTTCCCAGCTGGGTGAGATGGAAAAGGGCAGTAATCAAGGCTGCCTGGTAACCCACGCAGAGCGACACAGCCCTCGGCTGGGACCTCCACGAAGAGCTGCAAAGGAGCCGCCCTGAGAACGCGGGAAATTGCACAAGTATCGGTCACCTCATCCATGCGATCCTGGACAAACTGGAGGGAGTAACTGGAGCCCCTGATCATGTCCTGGGCCTCCTGAAGCACTGCGTGTGCTTGTCTCAAGTTCTCCACCACTTCTTCCACATTGCCCTCGACTGCATTGGCCCGGTTCCTGGAGAAATGCAGCAAGGAATCGTGAGTGTGTCATCATTAAAGACAAGCAAGCCAGTCAACTACAGCTGCAGGTCTGAAGTGAAGATGGTACCAGTGTATTTAACAAATAAGGGAGCTGCTGTAAGCCTGTAATAGAAGCTAGACATCCCAAAGCCACTCTTCCTTTACCACTGGATCAAACTTCCTTTCAAGAGCAGCCCTGCTTTTACTTTGTACCATTAGGTGGGAAGGGAGAATAAAGCCCTCCTTTAAAAAAAAACGCTGTTAATTAGCAACGTGGGGCAAGAACAACAATCTCGGGGACAGCATCTTTTTGTGCCGCGAGTCACTTCCACGTGACGCTGTCCCAGTTTGAAGTGGGGCCCTGCAGAATAATAAATGGTAAGTAATAAAACCTTCCTCTAGAAACGTTCATGCAAAGCCTGCCTCCCGTGTCTCACCACTCTCAGCAGATTACGTAGGTATCAGATGCTTTCAGGAGGTTTATGCTCTTATCTTGCTAACCTTCTCTCCAGGTTATTGCTACAATAGACTCGCTGGAAGACGAACAAGATGTTCCAACTTCACAAGGGCACTCCGTGACTATATTTTTAAAAGGACTATAAGACAATCCTCCCGAGTTTCACCATATAATCTTCTTGTTCTTCCCTCCTTAACAATTATGCAATTATGATGTAGGTCACCAATAGTGAAAGACACGTGACACCAGGTACTTCTCATCACAGGAGCTCAGGAGAAGCAAAGTATATGTATATTTGCACCCTCCTACTTAGATATAGGCCTCCCTGCCCCTGTACCTATAATGAGAGGGTGTCAGACTTATTATAAGCAACCAAAAGTATTATGCGTGTTGTGCTTTCAGGTAGAGAGAGCAGAGGCCCCTTCTTCTAGGCCCTGTAGAGACTCACAAATATGGGGCTAGAGCTTCAGCTGGTGCAAGTCAGCAGATCTCCAGCAAAGTCACTTGTACCCACAGAGGATCTGGCTGGAAGTTCAGTGAAAAGGGACCCTGGTTACCTTGCGCCATGTAACATGGGACAGCAGCGAGAGAGACAGACTTGGGGGGAGATGGAGGGAGCACCTCACTGGAAATGGGTCTCCACAAAGACCTCCCTCCCATTCACAGGGGAGTGCAAATGCAGGACGACCCCCACCCTTCCCAATGGATGTCTGGCCCAGCTCGCATCCAGTTAGCCCAGTCACGACACCCAGCTCACCTGGCTTGTTCAGCCTCCTGCTGAAGCCTCTTAGCCCTAGCAATGTCCTCAGCTGTTCGGGCGAGGATGCTCTCCGGGCATTGCAGCTTGGCCGCCAGGCTGCGGATTTCAGCCATCTTCCTCAGGATGGCAGCAGTGTCAGCTGGGAGACGCAGCGAGAGCACGTAGTCGCTGACCTCTTGGATGGTCGCGGGGTTGGTGTCTGGGTCTAGAGCATTTGCCAAAAAACACAGAGTCGGGAATGGGGGCAAGAGTAGAGGAAGGGCAAAGCATGTCACCTGGGGCCAGGAGAGTGAGGGAGAAGGCCACATCGCTGGGAAGTGGAGACACTAGGGTTGGCTTCCTCTACCAAGAACTGGCTAGTCCCTAGAGCAAACTTCAGTGCTAGCGCGGTCAGACTCAAGGCATCTGACTTGACCCACTTGCACCTGTGCTGGGACGGCACTGGGAACGCTCCCTGCTGCTACTGCTCCACCTCGCATCCACTCACTGATGGACAGACAGGAGCAGTGCTGTGTCCCTCGGGAAGTCCACGCTGGTGGGTCCTACCAAGGAGACGGGTATTTAGCAACGTGTCCAGATGGGTTCAGCTGCTCTGGCCTGTGAGCCTAGTAGGCCTTGCTTTTAGAGAGACAACAGGCTGAGCTGCACTCTGCACAAGTTAGCCGGTTGAGCTGCACACGCTAATAAGTCAAGTCAAGTCAAGTCAAGTCAGTCCCGAGGTTGCTGCGACCTTTGGAGCGCCTTAGATGCTGTGCATCATTAGTGATTCTTCAGGCTAACCACAAGTCTAAATTTGTCCCCTTCTTTCTTTCTCTCTCTTTTATTCTGAATCCCTCATTTGCAGGTGTGCAGCAAGCTCTCCAGCATCTGCCATGCATTGCAGACTTCGCTGCTCTTTCCAGGCCTTACAGCATCACGATGATGGACGGATCAGGCTTCTTTCTCTATGGCTCTACATGACCTTCTCCAGGTTTCCCTCCTCTCTTCCTGGGTAGCACCCGTGTTTTCATTTTACATGAAGGTTATGCCAGGGGCTAGGGTGTCCCAACAACACCAGTTACTGTCACCCTTCATGTCTGTTCCTCTATATTGGTTTCCTCTACTTAGCATTTCTGATGTTGTAAAAAACTCCAGTGGACTCTGAGCATCTTCCACGAACACTGACTTTGGGAATGAGCTGATCCTCTTACCCGTTTCTGCTGTTAATTGCCATAAAGGGCAGACACAACTCAGGTGTTCAGTATTCTTTTTTTTGCCTCAATGGTGAAAATTTGCCCCTGCTGCCGCGTGTAAAACAAGAAAAGGCTTAAATTTACAGAGAACCCTGCAAGGAAGTCCAGGATGAGTGCTTTCCTACATTGCTGCTAAAGGCAAAGGGAGAAGAGATGTGCAAACACCCAAGGCTGTCAGCTTGGGACCTGGCTTATGCTCAGTTAGATCTTCATTCACCAATAACACCAGGCAGTACTAAATGACTTGATTTTCGTATTCAGCTAATGCTCATAAGGCTGATGGGTTATTCGAATTTGTGAACAATAAGGCAAACCACCAGCTTGTACGGTACACGTCTATTCTTTAGCTCAATTAATTGTCTGTTCCAGAAAAGATTTGTTTGAGCATGTTTCTGGTCAACAGGTATCATTGGAAAAAAACTTTCCAGTGTCTAAATGGTGAGGGAAAGTTCCCATCTTAATCGACAGGCATTGATAACCCTTGAAGGTAACTTCCACACACAAGTCACGGAGAATATCCTCTGCTGTAACTCCCAGGGGCCAGGATGGGCCAGATGGGCCAAGGCAGCTTGCTTGGAAATCTCTCCCTGCCAGGGCCCAGGCTACAGCTCAGTCCCTTGGAGCCATCACTCCAGCACCTGTCACCAATGCTGAATTCAGCTGATTTTGTTAAATCCCTGAACGGCCGCCGGAAGCCCAGCCGCGTCTTTCATTGCTGGGTTCTGCAGCACAGAAGGCCACAGTCCAGCAATGTCTGCCTTTGCTGCAGCCCATTAAAGTGACTCCACACATGGCATTTACAGGCCGGAAAGTGAATGGGCCAAGCTCACCTCTGGCATAAGGCCCTTGGAAGTTGCTGAGCCTACACCTGAGATGAATTTAGCTCTGTGGGAATGGCACAATCAAAACCTGAGTTGGCTGCTCAGGTCATGGTCAGGCTGCAATTTCGTTCCTTGAGTGCATTTCCGTGAGAGCTGATTTAAGGCTCCCACACACATCTAGCTGCTGTCAAATACCGCTCACTCCGATTCCTTTGCAATTTGCCTTGTAAACATGGTTCCGCTGTATGAGTTCACCAGGCATTAGTCACAGTTACACCCTGACGGTACAGGCTCGGGCAAAGCAAAAGTATCGTTCCCTTTAGAAGAGGTCGTATCAGGTCAATAGTGTTAGCCAATGCATATGAAATACATTGGACCCCTAGACAATTCAGCGTGAACAGATACAAAGATAGTATTGGGAACTGCAAGGTATTATTAGTAGCAGGAGAAACTGCTCGTAGAAAAGCCCTATATTGTTTAGATCTTGTTCACATTCAGGCTTTACTGAAACAATGCATGCAATACTGACAAACTTTTGAGAGCTTCTGGACCTGTTTTCCTGCAAATCTGAGGCAAGAGAATGATCTAAAACTGGGGCAGGAAGGGACCTTAAGAGGTCAAGCAAGATCACTCCAGGCTGAAGCATCCCAGATGAAGTACTCTCACCTGAATGCAAAAAATCCCAGTGACCAAGAGTCCACTAAACACCATTTCCAGTGCTTGTGCATCTGCTTAGCCATTGCAAAAAAGTAAGTGAAAAAAGTCTGTATGACTTAGTCTGGGGCTTCACATGAATCCTGACTTGAAAGCAAAACTGGGAGGCATGAATGCAGCCCAAGAAAATAGCCAGGCAGTTTTCTCTGCAACATCCACAGCAGCATGGAAATCTGGTGGTTCTACTTCCCTGCTCATCAGAAGATGTTGCATCTAGGTGAAAAAATTTAGGGTGGTCCCAGGGGCTAAATAAATCATGAAAATCCTTTGCCAGGACACTATGTGAGATTTAAAGACCAAGCACCTGGCTAGATCTTCAAAGACCTGCTTAGCTGTGCTCAGAGATTGCCTGAACATTTATGAAGGCAGGCAAACACCTGTCCAGGGAAATCAGGTACCGACTGGTCTCACTCAGTGAGAAGAGCGGTTCTCCTCTGATCTGCATCTGATCTGCAGGCCTCGTACCACCGTGAGGGTTTTCCATGCACAAGCCGATGTGCAGACAGCAGGAAGGAGCCCCGCAGAGCCCTGCCCACGTGCACACAGGCTGCTGGGTTTACCTGACAGAAAGCTGCGCACTTGCTTAATGAATTGCTGGATGCGTCGGACGTCTCCTTCTATCTGGGTCCTGGTCACGCTCATCTGGTCCCCCAAGCGCCGTGTGTTGCTCTGGATCTGGTTTGCAGCCGTCTCTGCTGCCCTGATCTGCCAACAGCAACATCCCCAATGGAAGTCAGTTTGTAGCAGGCACAGGGCATCCTCGACTCCTCACTTTACCCTCCCCGCCGCCCTGCCTGCTTCTCCTCGTATCTGCTTCATGAAGGGACTCCTGTATATCGAACCCAAGGGCAGCTTCTTCTTGCCAGTGCCTTATGTCCTGGGTGCTCTGTACCTACCAGCTGAGCGGTCTCCTGCAGATGCAGGTTGAAGCTGCGGAGCTCTCCGGCGGCTCTCTCAGCTGTTCCCACGGCGCCTCTGGACAGGGAGAAGATCCCTCGGCAGGCGAGACCTCCTCCGCACGCAGTCCCGTTGCCCCGCGGGCAAAGCTCTCCCTCGCACCCCCCCCCAGGTGTGCAGGGCTCCACTCGGACCGTGCTGCACATCTAAATGCAGAGAGAAAGGGCAAAGCGGTAAGGAGACCAATGTCCTTGGTGCTATTTGGATATAACGGTGCAAAGGCCGCAGCACGGTCAGAGGGATGAAATTCCTAACGCTGACCAAAGAGCGCACATACATGCACCGTTCTTGCTCAGCTATTGCTGTAGCCTTCAGTAGGGATGTCAGGGAAGGACCGCAACGGTATAGAGCAGGGTGAGCCAAACTTCTGAACCCTTCCAGCCACAGCCCAGCATGCCCCGGAGTCAGTGGTCTGTGCATGACTCCTCTCGCTTCAGGACCTGCTTTTTACTGCCTGGGAGCTGCCTGAGGCTCATGAGCTCTGGTATAGCCCCCGTCCAGTGCATGCCAAAGCAGTCTCAGAAATAACCCACATACTTCAATAGGTCTCAGTCTCAGCTGTGCAAGAGGCCCATCAGTGCATGTACCCTACAGGACTGGCGGACACAGGGGGTACCAGGGGGAGAAACTTTGGCTGCTCCTTGGTCCTCAGCATTGGCCGTGGATGGCACATCAGTGTCTAACGATGCCACTGATGTCCTGCCAATCCAGGCATGCAGAGCAGGAGCGCATGCAGATGCAGAGCTGGCCAGGACGGGCAATCCCCCCTTCCCTGCCCCAGGCAGTGCTATCACTCAGGACTGCTCCGGTGCTGCGAAAAGTAATGAGATGAGTGGTCGGTGGTCTCCACAGCAACGGTTCATCAGAAGACACTGAAGACAGAGGATATTCTCCATGAAAGGGGTCTCCATGGCAATAGCAAGGCAGTGCAGGGAGGAGAAAGAAAGGCGGGCTTTGCCCAGACCCGAAACCAGGCAACACCTGGGTAATGGCAGGTAGCAAGGCACTTGGACGGTCCCTGCACCAGAGCGACACCTCCCTTGCTGCGTCCCACTGCACGGTGAGCAAGCAGCACTCGGATTATGCTCCAGTGATGGCCTCGAGCAGCAACCACCCGGGAGCCCACCTGCCTACGGTGCAAGAAGTGGGCACAGCACCTTGTGCTGGGGAGGGCAGAGGCCACCTGAGGCTACTTGACTGCATGCCTCTGCCCCTGAGCACTTCATATCAAGGCCCGTGTCACTGTCACCTTATTGAGGGTAGGTGTGAGGTTGGGGGAGAGGGCCATATCATCCCGGAGTCTCCTCAGCTTCGAGGTGTGCTCTGCAATGCCTCTTTCAAGCTGCCCTGTCATCCTCTGGCCTTCCCTGGCTTGAGCCAGCAGGCCAGAGGTGCCCATTATGCGGCTGCTGGCGTTCACGGACGTCTGGTACGCGGTGCTGATGGTCCTGAAGGCTCCTGCAGGAATGAAACCAAACAGAACGTGAATGGCTTCATGACTCAGAAATGCAGCACTGTGAGCTCAACCACTGACTTCAGCCTGCGGAGAGGGAGGGGGAAGCTGCACGAGTGATTAGTCACCAAAGCACAGATTAAAAGCCCTTTTTCACATAAATACCTTGTATACATCCCCTCCCAGGGAGCTGCAGAGCTGCCTGCAAAAGCTCACCTCCGCGCTTGAGCTAATGGGTTTGGATGATGAAAAAAAAAAAGAGTCCCGGGCCCCAACCCTGGCCTGGCTGTTTCCCAGCTGTGCTCAGGGCATGCACCAGAGCAGGTGGACTCCAGAGTGGGTGGACAGATGGGGACCAGAGCTGTTCTCCGTTACACCCAAGCGATTGAGGCCCCCAATGGCTTGGCTTCATAGCTCCGGATGGCCCCATCCCAACACTGGGGACCGAGAGAAGGGAGGGCAGAAATGTTGTTGCTGCTGTTGCAGGGGCCCTGCACCGTTCAGTGACTGCTCTCTGTTAGTGCAGGAACCCCCACCTGAGGAAAAAGCCTGCATGATGGATCAGAGTGGTTTAAAGTGACTACGGCATGACTAAGGATCTGCTCCAACAAGTGAAAGCAGAGGAGTAGCACCCACGGGGGAGTGAACACACTTGAATGAACTTTCATTTCTTTGTTAGAAAAGAACTCATTTGCTTCCTGCTGAGCTCTGTTTGGAGTTGGCTTTGTACCTGAAATCACGTCCCACTCAGTATCCTCCACTCCCCCAACCCCTCAGGCTTTTCTGGGCTTGGCGTTGAATGATCTGGATGTTCCCACCCTGCAAACTTAGCCCAACAGGTCTGCTGAAAGGATGGGGGGAGGGAGGGGAGACTCCATTGTACTTGCTGCAACTGAGCCTCAGACCTAAGGAAAGGCACCTTGTGCCCAAAAGTTTGCATAACGTCTCTCCCAACTACACGGCTGGTTTGGTAAGGAAGACTGGCAAGCAAACCTGGCTTTCCAGCGTCCAGCAGCAGGACAGACCCCCCCCACACACACACACACATACACGCAAACACACATGCACACACACGCCCACATGCACGCACATGCATGCACACACACACGCTCTCAATGCTGCTGCAGATCCCAAGGAGAAGAGCAATGACTCTGCTGTAAACCCTGCTCAGACAGCTAGAGAGACAACTGGGAGACATCCAGCGACTTAGCACAAGCACGTGGCAGCCCCTGTAAGCCTCAGAGGTCACTCTCCTGCTCCTCAGGTCAGCACTGAGAAGCCAGGAGCGGACTGGGAAAAGTACGAGGGGAGAAGAAAATGCGACATCTCTGGGAATCGGCTGCCGCAGAGGGGTCGTGGCACTTCAGCACCGCCACCCTCATCCCCATCACTCTTAATTAGCTCTTCTTGAGGGCTTCTGACAGCCACTTGGCGCTCACCCGCACCCCGCCCCTTTCCCATCTGTGCAAAACTTTCATCATCTCAGCTCCCTGGCGCTCTCAGTGACAAATTCTCACGTGGGCACCCCCCGCTTTAGTGAAGCTCACACTGAGTCTTGGGCACTCCTACAACACATTTGCACTTCCTGGGAGAGAGAGCAGCAGGCCTGGTGGGATCGCGCTGCCCTGGGATAAGTCTTCCAAGTCCAGAGCCTAGCATCAGACACAGCAGAAGTGCTGCTGCAAGCGTAGAGGTTGAGCAGCGAGTGCCTCTTATCTGCATAACGGTTTGCTATTCCCAAGCTGGCTGGTGGCTTAGGGATGCTCTTCATTCATCCAACTGCAGGGAAGTGGCCAAGAGCCAGCGTCACTACGGACGGTACAGCTATATCAAATACACCGTGGTGGCTGCGGTACGAATGGCAGAGAGCCAGGAGCAGGTACCTGAAAGGTCTGTGCTGCGGCTGACTTCGAACGCCGTCTTCTTACTCTGGTACTGGGCGTTGATGAGAACCAGGCTTCGGTTCAGGGCATCCAGGCTGCTGGAGAGGCGGCTGGTCTCCTCGCTAAAGCCCAGCTCAGGCTTGGTGGCTTGGACCTGCTGCCTGCAGTCCAGAAAGTAGAAAGCATGCTGAGTGGTATTTCTTGACCCGTGTTGCACTTAGAGGAGCCAGCTGAGATCGGGGCCCTTAGGCTGGGCGCTGTGCAAATGCACAGCGAGGGGCAGGGCATGCCCAGGCTGGCCGGTTTAGAGACAAGCGCTTCTCAAGGGTGCGCAGCAGAGACCAGATTAGACCCAGGTGTCCTGAGGCCAAGGGTGTTGCTGGGAGGAGTACGTATAGGAGACTCTCCAGACTCCCCCTCATATTCCCTTTCATGATCAGAGCCAACCAACATAGGATAAAAGCCTACTACTGCCACCAGCTGGGGAAACTGGTTCAAGTGTGGGCCTGGGCGCTGTCCAGATGAGCGGTAGGCTCTTACCTGATTGCAGTGAGCGTGCTGGATATCTGAGCCAGGCTCTGGTCTGTCACTAGGGATTTGCCGAGCATCCCTCGGAGTTGCTGGACGTTGCCTTCAGCTTCCTGGAGGCGGGTGCTGAAGCTGCCGGACGCCGGCCCCTGCGCCGGCCAAGAGCTGGAGTTCCTCAGGCTGGCGCAGCGCAGGCTGAGCCGGCGGATGTCACTGTCATAGGCCTGGAAACAGGGGTGGCATGCCTCGCAGTGGGCAGAGGTGCTGCAGTAACCCCGCTGGCATTGGTCACAGCGGGGCCCAGTAAAGCCAGGGCGGCAGAGGCAGCTGCCACTGGCCTTGTCACACCCCATCTCCTCCGTGCCCTCGAAACTGCAGTCGCATGCTGTCGGGTGGATAGAGGGAGGCATGATGAACCCATGACGAAGGACAGGCAGTCCCTCTCAGCCCCCTACCCCCTGCACGGACCATCTCGCGCCCAGGGTGGCTGCCAAGGACCCAGCAAATATCTGTGGGAGGGAGGGGAGATGCAGGGAGGCGGCTGCAGAGGCAGTTTCTTGTGGAAGAGGCTAGTGCCAAGACCAGGGCCAGGAGCTGTTGTCAGATGCAAGCACCTTTAATCGCGGCTGAAACCCCCCCCCGACAAAACTCTGCTGCCTCGTACCTCTGCATCCTGCCTCGCTGTCTCCGTAGAAGCCATCCGGGCACTTCTGTTCCTGTGTAGATGAGCACGTCAATCCCGCAAACCCTTCCTTGCATCGGCACTGCCCTGTGAACTGCACCCAGACAAGCACATCAGCGATGGAAAGGCTTTGAAGAGGGTCTTGGAGGTGGGGAGTCAGGGTGGGATCCCTTGCTGGATCTCTTGAATCCAAGTCACTTCCCTCTTGCCAAGTTCCTACTGCTAAGATCACAGGAAAGCAGGGCTAAAAGGGATCACGTGGATCTCCACTCTCACCCTTGGTAACAGATGGATATTTAGCCTAGAGTTTTCTCTGGTAATTGCAACCCACTTCTCCTTGGTAGGCATCTCTGGCTCGCAGTAAGTGGCCTGATTCATGGAGGTGCTTGAGCTCCTGCTATTTGAGCATACAGTTGGGGGCCAGAAGATAAGACACTTACGTTAATAGGCATGTGCCTGCGTTTGTCTAGAAGCAGCAGCCTGGGCAGCCTTGGCAGTGATATGCTGCAAGGCCCCCCCCCGTAGCCTGCCCTGTGCTCTGATTTATGAGCCAAGAGTTGGTTTCTTGCCCTTTGGCCGGAAGAAGAACCGTAGCACAGGGGTTGCTTGTTCTGCCATTGGCAATGCAAATGCAGGGACGCTGAAATACTCCTGTGTGAATCATGCAGGGGGAAATGGGGGAGCATTTACTGCCTTTCAACAGGGGCGTCACAAAGTCTCTCATTGCACTGACTGATGACCCCCACTTTGATCTATCTCAGGGTTCATAATAGTCCTGATGGTCACTAAAACAGTGTGGGGGGGGAGCTGACAGGGATTTAGTGCCACTTGTTCTCTGTGACCTTGGGTAAGTCAGCTTCCGCATCTATGCCTTGGTGCACGCGGTGCTGCGTGGGAATCACGAGCCTTTTTTTTTCCTCCTGTCCTTTGTCAGCTTTATCCGGTGCACTGCCCTGGGCAGGGGCTGGGTCTTACTTGGTGTCTGCAGAGTAGCTAGCACAAGGGGACTCATCACCGCTGCAATACAAGCACTAAGGAGATTCGGGTCCCGTGTTAAGCAGCCCGAATCTCAGGATCTGAAGCTTGAGGTGTTGCACAGCAGAAGAGGAACCAACCGCAAAAGTTAGACCTGGGCTGGGGTCGCAAATCACTGCCAGAGCTGAGGCCAATCTCGAGTTGGTCTAGTAAAAGATATCACCTCTGCCACGAGTTCTGATTCCTTTTAAAAGCATCCCTTTTCCTAGTCTTTAACCTGCATTCTTCCAGGGGCCTGGGATGAGTTGCTGTGTTCTCACTGACTAACGAGGATAATTAGTCCCCCTTCTGCTATGCGTTCAGATCTATTTGGACTGCCCTCCTCAAGAGCAAACCTACAAGACAGCTTGGTCTTGTCTCTAATTACTGGTTTCTCCTCCCTTCCAGATCCACACAATGCTCTAGGTCAGAGACGGCAGGCTACAAACAACAGAGAGATGCTTTAGGAAGCACGCTGTCCTTTTCCAAGAGGGAAAGGTGGTGGGACAGAACAGCAGGCAAGACGAAGGCCTCTAATGAGAGGCCTCAGGGCTGTGATTAATTGGTGACAATGGCACTGTGTCACCATGCTGCGCAGCAGGGGCTTGGGCTCTGGCGCCTTGTGACTTTCTCAACTGTTTTACCGCATCAACCAACCGACCCCTTTCCCTTCTCAACAAAGACCTGCCCAAGCCCGGCAAAGTGCAAATGGCTCCACTCATTGCTCATTAGGACAGGCTGGAAAAATGGGGAGGGAGGGGACATTGCAAAAGAGGGTCTGAAATACATTATTTTTTCTAATTTTTCCCCCTAAAACTATGTCCACATTTTGGCCAAGTCTGTTAAATACTCATTATGGCCCCTGCCCACACATACCCTGCAGCTACCCTTTTCCACCTTGCTGTGGGACTATCCAAGCACCTCAAGGCCTAACATATTTACCTTGTACACCCCTGAGTGCTGTTGCCCCCATTTTACAGATAAGCAAACTGAGTCACAGAGGGGCTGAGTGAACTGCCCAAGGACATGCAACAGGTTTGTGGAAGGCAGGAGCTCGAACCCAGGTCTTATAAGGTGCAGGCTAGAGCCCAGCCATGGCACACCATCGAGTCACCCTGTGCCACAGCCTAGGTCCCTAACACAGCAGGCGCAGTCTAACCCAGACCCTTGGCAGCTCCTGAAAGGGTGGCTGGAGCTCTGCAGCCGTGCCACGTAAAGGACACTGACCTGCAGACCTGCTGCGCCTGCTTCCTAGGGAGCTCCCCAGGACAAAGCCTTGGGCCAGTACCTGGTTGCACTGGGGGCCGAGGGAGTTGTGAGGGTCGCAGCTGCATGGCTGGCAGCCCTGACCGCCGGCGATCTTCCAGTGGTTGGCAGAGCACTGGTCGCAGTTGGCTCCCACCACGTTGGGCAGGCAGAAGCACCTCCCGGTCTCGTCATCGCAGGGCTGGTCCTGGCGTGTCCCCAGGAGGTTGCAGGTGCATTCTGCAATGCAAAGGGGCTGCTTTAGGCAGAGCTCTGGGGCCAGGAGTCAGCCTGGCTTCCCCCAGGGCGCAGATTCCTGTGCCTGGTTTGCAGAGGTGGGGAGGGAAGGTTTGACTACAGGACAGCAGCACAGGGCAGCTGCATCTGCAGCACTGCCCACCCCCAGCCGGTATCTTGCACTCTCCGGCAAGGCGTAAAGGCAGCTTCTACACCACATCCCCTCCCCACCTGCACCTCTCTGCCCTGGGGATGCAGGTGCTATGTATCTGGTTTAATGGAGTTGTGCCCCATCAGATACTGCACCTGGACTCTGACTCTCAGGTCCCGGTTCCCCCTCTCTCCCAGCCCGTCTGTGGCATGGCAGATGCATGGAAAGGAGTGTCGGTGCCTGAGCTCGCTGCCTAGGACAGCGATGAAACCCAGGTCCACACTGCCACCTGCTGTAAAACAGCTCCAGCCAAACCACCGAATGAGCCTGTATTTTAGCAGCCTCTGAGGCACGTCGCAGAGCCCAAGGCAAGGGCCAGCAATGGATGAGTACACAGCCCAATGCCCGGTTCTGTCCCGACAGGCGCACAAAACCCCACCGGAGACTGCAAACACCTTCCCAGCACCCCAGCTGGGGATGAACAAGCCTTCCCATGCAACCCCAGTGACTTCTGCTGGCTGCCAGGCTGGAAACAGCCTCTCATGCTCAAGAAGGGGACGTGTTTTGTGACCAGCTCCTCAAGCTGTCACCCCATGGGGTGGTGCTTAGCGGCACCCAAATCTGGGCTGGTTTGGAACCAGATCCTATTCCAAGCTCTCCAAGAAGCCAAGGAAACAGGTTGGCTTGCTCCTGCAAGAGAAAACTATGGGTGGCTTGGATCTCAAAGACCCTTGCAAACCCTCTCCCAACGCCAGCTGGCCTCTGTTTCCAAAGCTTCGCAGACTTTGGGCCTAGAACATATGGTTCGATCGTCTAGCCTGCCGTCCTGCATCTCTCATCCAGCACCCCCGTCCTGAGCTCAGGACCTCGCGCGTGGCTCACGCAGACTCACTCCTGCATCCCTGGGGGTTGGAGTTGGCGAGCTGGGTAAAGCCGGGCTTGCAGAGGTGGCAGCGTTCCCCCTGCACGTTCTCCTTGCAGACACAGCGCCCGGTCAGAGCATCGCAGATGGAGCCGGGCACGGTGCCGTCCGGGTCGCACTCGCAAGCTGAAAGCACACGCCTCCAATCAGGGACAGCAGCCAAGGAGCTGTGGGGAACCACAGCTTACGGGGCAACGCTGGCGGGGGGAAGCCAGGCCCCTGCTAGGGGCCACTTACGTAGACAGGCTTCCGGGTGGGCCAGGTCTTGCCGGCGGTTGCGAAAAAAGTTGGTTTTGCAGCGCTCGCAGTTCCTGCCCTCGGTGTGGTGCTGGCAGTTATCACACCCCCCCCCGCTCAGCCCGCCGCTGGCCTGGTACACCGCTGCATCAAAGTGGCACGTCTCCGAGTGACCGTTGCAGTCGCACTCTAGACACAGGGAGAGGGTCCCCGCTTAACGGCTGTCGTTTGCAGAAGCCCGCAGCTCCTGGCCCTCTTTTCTCTTGCCAATAGATGGGGCCGCGGCCTCCCACATGGTTGGAAATGCAGCAGCCTTCGGGAGCCAGCATCCTCCCCGCCTGCCCTTGAGGGATGCTGCTGCTTAGTCCCAGGCACAGACTGCGTCTGCTCCCCTGCGCTGGGGGCCCCACTCCTTTCATAGGGGTCCCTCCTATAAAATAGTAATAGGCATTTCTGGGAGTGGTTTGCAATGCTCTCCTGGGCTAATGCATGTCAAGGTCCAGCACTATGCTGATCTGGCTAGAAGGACCCAGACCTCCCCACCCCACCTCCGCTCAGCAGGGATTGTCTCCGTGAACCATCAGCAGCCTGCTGGTGCACGCTGAGACGAGGTGGAAGAGCGGCACACCGATACTGAGTCAGGTCTACCAGCCAGGACCTCTCATTTTGTCCAGCATTCAAGTGAGGCAGAGCCATCGTGCAGCAAATGCTTCAGTGACTATAGTCTCAGCTTGTCTAAGTCTAGGGGCAGCAAAGGGAGGGGGCAGCAGAAAAGAGCAGCCGGGCAGAAGCACAGACGTACTCCGGCATTCGTTGGGGCTGCGGTCCTCCGCAGGTCGCCAGGGCTGGTCGTTGTAGAAAGCTGCACAGCGATTGCAGTGTGGGCCGGCCGTGTTGTGTTGACACATGCAGTGTCCGTGAACCTGGGAGAGAGACAGCCGTCACACCCTACATGCTGCAGCTTTGCAAGGTCGGGGGTTTATCCCTCTCATTCCCCATCTCCTCCACGTGAACTAGTTTCCTAAGAGGCAGGACACTGTTAGTAAATCCTGCTTGACACAGAGCCAGCTGGAAGCAGTTGGGTGTCTTGAATTTGCACCAAATGAAGGGTCCCCAAGGCCCTGCAGTGAGAGCAGCCCTTCACTGCTGGGACGTGCTGCCAGTAGGCACCGGGGCAATGCACAAGTTAACTCCCCTCCTCTCTGTGCAGTAAAACATCAGGCAAAGTGGGTTTATTCTTCAAACTCTGCAGGGCCTGAATGAACAACAGGGTTTGTACTCCCTGGATCCTGTATCAAACCCTGCCACCTCCTAGCCAGCCCCTGCAGAAGGGAGAAATGCATCCCCTTCGCTAGCCTGGGATGAAGCGCTCCCACCCTCTTAAGGGGTGTCACGATGCCAAGGTAATCCCACCAGGCCTGTAGGACCACCCTAGGGAATGGGACGGAGACCGATGCTGCCGCAAGGGCTCCGAAATCACAGGGAGGACAGGTGACGTTTCCCTGCTTCACCCGGTGCGCTAACCTTCACCGCGGCGCTGGTGTCTCCAGAGGGAGCGCTGGAGGGAGCGCAGCGGTCAGCGTGTCCGTGGCAGAAGCAGCTGCCTTGAACTTTCATTTCGGTCACCGCGTAGAAGGAGCTGGAGGCACGGTACCCATGGTGTGGGAGGCGAGGCAACTCGGTGAAGTTGATCCGCAGGCTGGTGAATTCACCCAGGTCTGTTTGGGATGAGAGCAGACATAGGGGAAGGGCAGAGATGGAGACACAGGCCACCAGGGCTGAGAAGCATGTGCTTTGGAGAGCACCAGCATCCCGGTTGCCATTAGCCAGCCCCATCAGTACAACGGTCCATGGGGGAACCAGCAGCAAAGGCAGCTATTGCCCTAGCTGCATCTCTCTCTCCCCGTGAGGTCTGCAGCATCTCTCTGAGCGAAAGAGCCAGGGCCAGACTGGTGCCTGGGCTGGTACTCCCTCTGTGGAGAGACAAGGGCCTTTATTGATGCCAGCACAGCATCTACAACTAGCACAAAAACATGCTTCTGAAACGAGCCTTTTTTTGTCACACGCAGCTCGGCAAAATAGGAGGCATCTCGGAGGCCTTGGACTCGGTTAGACTTGTGCTCTACAATCTAAAAAAAGCAGATGAGTCCAGGGAAACGCACCATTTCTGCGCCCCTAGGTATCAGTGAGAAAGGGTACGTACGGTTGATGCTCTGGCTGTGGGACGTGGTGACGCTGGAGCCAAGGGCGATGGGGCTGAACTCCACCTTGGAAGAACGCAGAAGCAAACATGTTAAGCGGCTTAAAAGGACGGGGACGGGAAAGCCACTCTCCTTTCTTTCCACCTTGACAGAGAAACAGCTGCCTCGGCTGGAGAGCAGTAGTCCCCAAGGACCGTGACAAAAGGTCAAGTCATCGGTGCTGAGGAACTAGCAGGCACACCGGCCAAATAGCCAGCCTGCCCACAGGCCTTTCTGGCTACAGGAGCACAAATCTCCCCGGGGACAATGCCGGATTCCCGAGCTGATCTCGCTCCCAACACCACTTGCTCTGCACAGCATCTGTAGGATGCATCCGGACTCAGAGTCCAGGGGCAGAGACAGGGAGAGGAAGTAAGAGAGAGAGAGCTGCAGGGCAGAAGAGGTGTCTATCCTGGCATTTGGAAAGTAAAGGGGCCACAAGATTCAGAGTCTGTCTCTTGTCCACAGAATCAGAAACTACTTGGCCTCATGCCCTGCATCTCTATATTGAGCCAAATGTTTTACTAGCTCCCCGCGGGGAGCAGAAGAGCCCCTTGGTTTCTTCCCACAGAACTAAACAGCACTCCGAGCATAAAAGCTGCCCCTGCAAACTTGCCGTTCGTTCATAGCAACTCCCTCCGCAGCAGGCATGCCTGGATGGAAATGCTGTGGCCCCTTGCACTCAGGAGGCCCAAGGACCGTGGCAGCCCCTCGTGATCTATACATGCGTCAAGTGCTCAAACTCGAACCCATGCGCCATAAGCAACGCCAGGTTCCTACAGAATAGCCGGCTCCATCCTCGTGTGGAAGAGAGAGGTGTAATCCAGAGACTCAACAGCTCCTGGCATTCAGGGCTCCCCAGAGACCTGCTTGAGCACAGTGCAACAGCACGTGCTGGGAACGCGGGTCCTCCAGGGACACTGTTGAGGGTGGCTGCCGTCTGCTCTCTCTTATGGGGCTGTGAGCACCGGCTGACGTTGCGGGGCAGGCTGGAAGCAGTGGGCACCTCGTGAAGCGTACCTTCCCACCGTGCTGAGGATGCCTGTGCTGGGCCCGCAGCTCCTGACAGCGCACGTCGTGCCAGCGCTCCGGGGAGCCTCGTGGGACGCGGGGAAAGGAGGCCGCGCAGTCGGAGGCCAGGTACTGGTAGATCCTCCAGGTTTTGCCGAAGTCCGTGGAGCGCTCGATCAGCATCCCGGCGGGCAGCGGGGACTGCATGGGGAGAGCAGGGGGTGAGGGGAAGATGCTGTCACTCACTTGGGAAGCACAGACAGCAGGAGGAACCCGTTGCTTTCCCCACCCCGGGAATGCCTCTCCTCTTCCACCCCACCAAGCCCAGCAAAGCCTCCTTATGCCTCTTGCAGGACCCTGCCCAGCCATAGCTTGTGCTTATAGCCCCCCTGGCTTGCAAGCTAACCCAGGAGCCTGCCGGTCACTGCCATTGCCCATTGGGCAGAAGGCTGGCTGGGATCTCACCTCTCACCCAGCGCTCTCTGGTCTCTCCAAAAAAAACCCTAGAATACAGCCAGGGCTAGTCGAGGAACTGGCTGCACACATGGAGAGGAAGGAGACCGAGGAGTGGCTCCTTTCACTCTCAGTTTTCAAATGCTCTTTTCAAAGCCAGAATAAAGCGTGACCGCAGAGGAGCAGGATGCAATTGCTTCCTCTGTCTCTGGGGGAAGGCATGTGTTTGCCAGCTGGTCCCAGCTGGAGATCCACATCCCCCCGCGGCTGGTAGCCTTGCAAGTGATGTGTGAGCTCTGTGAGTACCCTGAAGTCCAGCAGGATGCTGCTTAGCTGGAATTTTCCATCGAGATCCAACTGCAAAGAGACCTGGTTCACGTCTGCGGGGAGACACAGAGAAGCAGTTTTCAGAGGGGCAGGTCATGTCGTTTGGGGTAATAAAACCTTTACCCGGAGACAAGCTGCTCATTTCCCCCCTTGTCTGCAACTTGCTGAACCTACAAACTCCCCTGGTCTTTTCCTTTATCAGTCCCTGAAGCCCCAAACCCAGCCCTGAGCAAATTTCTGCCCTACCCACACAACAAGAGGCCTGGAAGCCCTTGGATCTCCTTGCCACGGGTGACTGACGTGGCAGGGCACCAGCGCTGTGGGCCACACACATGGCCAGGCAGGTATCTGAAGACATGTTTGTATCTGCCCTTTTTCAGTAGAAAATACCCAGCCAGCTCTAAAGGAGGGATTCTCCTCCTGGAAAGCCTGAGCCTCTCCCATTTGCTCTGGTCGGGGGTGAACCTGCCTGCAGCTCTAGCTTACGTCTAGGAGCACAGCCAAACTGGACTGATCCTCCACTGTCCATCCATCCACTATTGCAGTGGCACTATACAAGCTGTGGCCATGAGCACAGGTCTCCCGGCTTTACTATATACTATGCTAACTTGGAGCATCTCAGCTCCATCAGAGAGGCCGTGGACTCTCCATCCTTGGAGGTTTTTAAGACCAGGCTAGACAAAGCCCTGGCTGGGATGATGTAGTTGGGGATGGTCCTGCTTTGAGCAGGGGCTGGACTAGATGCAACCTCCTGAGGTCCCTTCACACCCTCATTTTCTGTGATTCCTTTAATTCTAACTCCTAGGGCAACTCTGGCTTTGGGACTTGGCTGATCTTTTCCTCCCATTACCTATAGCTTGTCTACATGGAAAAAATTACTACTGTGACCATACCAACATAACACCTGCATTAATCCAAAATAGGACTGCCTTTTTCCTGGGTTAGCTTATCTGGCTTTATGTGATGCAACTACTGAGGTGTAACTGGGAGTAGTTCACTTTTGTCACTCTTTTGCCAACCTCTTCCTAAGTATGATGCCACGATGATCAAGTGAGTGATGAGATCAGTATAAGACACACACATGCGAAGGTAGGACTTGAAACCTTTCCTTCAAAGCTTTCCTGTCTCCCTAATGGAAAGTTTGGGAATTTCTCTGGGTATTTGAATACGGTCACAGAAATGTCTCTTTTCTTAAAAACTTTTCCATTTTTCAGTTAAAAGTCAAAAGTCATTTTTGGTTTTCAGAATAAGCTTTTAGCCAAAACTGGAAAAAAAAAATGGTAAAATTATTTGTTACACTTCTGGGATGGTCAGAAAATAGGGTTTTCATTGGAAAATGCTGACAAAACAAAAAACAATTCACAGATAGCTGAGAACGTAGCACAGCAGAGGCCAGGTCTTCTAGCCTGAAGGTTTTAAAGGCGTCTGTAATAGAGACTATGGCAGGATTACCTAGCGGCTCGATGGTAGGAAGGAATACCAAACACTGCCCCAGCACATCCCACCCAAAAGGGGCCTGTGACACTGGCTGCAGCTGCTGGGAGGGATACTGCCCTTCCCAAAAGGCAATCTGGCACTTACTATTCTGAGACTGCCACCAGCGCAAGTGTCCTCTGGAAGAAAGCACGTTGTCCACCCGGTGACTGTTGTACGTGTGAGGCACCCGGGAGTCACATCTGCAGCACTTCATCTGCCACTGAAAAAAAAAGGGAGGCAAACATTAGACCCGACAATGAGTAGGGCCTTTTGGCGAAGTGAACCTCAATTCTGAAGAGGCCAAGATACCACAGCACTTTGTCGCCTATTCCTGTCATCTCACGACCAGGAAGAAATGAGCTAAGTGTTGTGTTGACTTCAGATGTACCCACGTATCAGGGACGTGCAGAACGTAACTCAGTAAATGCATTTTTGTTTTGGATGTGCCATCACTTACGCTTGTCTTATGGGCAATGCTGGAGGACCCCGATACCACTCAGACCTAAATACAAGTCACCCCAAGCTAGTGCATGGGACTGAGGTCAAAAGCCACACGACAGAAAGCACCTTGCCAAGAACTGGAAGAACCGTGGGGCTGTGCAGACAATATAGCCCCACATTTTCAGAAGCATCCAGCATCTAACCTGGACTGGCCTGCTTATTGTGTGCTCTTCCTGAGCTGGATTTCAGAAGAGCTGTGCACAGGGCCAATGGCCTCGGTCGTTCTCGAGCCTTTTGGAGGTGGTTAACAAAATAGCAGCTCTAGACGTGCACTTTGGGAAGCCATCCAGGTGGCCCATCTAGAAACAAAGCCATTGATCCCATGAGGCGAGGATGACCATGGGCTCAACAACTGTTGTTTGCAGGGATGGAGCCCCGTGGCCCAGGACACTGCAGCTGCATGTACCAGTATCCGTGCTGGAAAGCTTCCAGTCCCAGTAGCCTACAAAACTGCACCTGACAACATCCCCGCTTGTTTTTAGACCTGGTAAGTGGAAAGGTGGGCCGTGCACCGCCATGGTCTCAACGATGCTTTTGGCAAGATGGTTCCTCCTGTATCAAGCCTAACCATGGTCTAGCTACCTCTGGGGTTGAGCATATGCCCCTCAGAGCTGCCACACCACCCATGTCCCTGGCAAAGTGCTCGTTAGGCAGAAGTGCTCTGCTTTGGCCGGCTAAACTGGCTTTGCAGCAGCACCAGGCCAGGTCTGCAGCTTCCCTGCCCTGAAAAAACAGCCCTGTTTATCTCAGCTCTGTCCAAACAAAAATTTCTGCTCATGGGCACAGCAAATGCAACCTCAGATCTTAGCCTGAGCATCTGCATGGCAGGGACAGGGGTCCTGATGCCAGGATGTCAGCAATGATTCACGTAACCCAAACTCGCCAGGAACCAGCTTCCCGCCCCTACAAAATGGAAAAGCATTCATTTTACAGTGCTGGAAAACTGAAATGTTGCTTTGGGGTTACTTTCTAAAACTCCATATATTTTAGCGAAAAAATAGAAAACCTTATTTTTCTATTGTAAAACTTTTTGTTGGAACAAAAAATCCACCCACTCTGCGCCACAGCTCGCTGCCCCTTTGTCTTTTCCACGTAAGTCAGTGAAGCTGCTTGCTTGTGTGAACAGAAAGGCCTTTATCTACCCTCCAGAAATGTTAAAGCCTCGCCTGGCCCTCGGCTGGCTCCTCTCTGAGCACAGCAGAGCAGAGCAGAGCAGAAAGCAAACAGTTTAGTGGGTAAAAGGTGACTGGGTGAAAAGCCAAGTGACACAAGGTTCACCCCTGGAGCCAGTGAGTAATTCAAGGAGCAACGTGAGATGCAGGGGAACTACAGCCAGATCGTGCGGGCTTTGCATGGACAGCCCATGTCTGGCTGCTTTCCAAAGGCTGGAAATAACAGGGGCCCCAAGGGACAAAGCAAGCTGTGGGTTGCGACTGGCCGGGCAATGCTTAACTCGGTTACTTTTGATACGCCTTTTGCTGTCTGCGTGGAGCTCCCGTGGGCTCGGAACTGCATATATGGAAATCCACCCAGCCGAACGCAGACGAATGGGCCATGGCATGGCAAAAGTTTGAATCACGATGGACCGGGGTGACAGGGTTGAGAAATGGGTCACGAGGTTTCAGGGCGGACGGGAAATGCAACTGGCCTGGGCAGAAATGCTTTGCAGAGGGGGATGCCGCGGGCCAGATAGACGTTAACAGGTGATGGCAGAGGGTTCAAGAGTGGGGACCGCCATGCCCGAAACACCTTGATCAATTGAGGGCCGATGACCCTGGCAACTACAGTGTCTAGTCTGAAGATCATGGAAGATTTTGGAACCCCATTTTGATGGCTAGAACAAAATGTACGTGGAAGTAAATGGAAAACAGTATAAAACAAAACACATATGTATCATGGCAGGTCATACCTAATTAACGCGGTGTCTTTTTGTGATGAGAAAACTGCTTTTTACCAGGAAACAAAATTCACTAGATCTAATCTGTCCAGTCTTCAGTAAAGCTTTTGATAAGTACCAAATAGGAAATTATCAGGAAAATTGGAGAAGAGGAGGATTAGTAGAGGAATTGTGAGATGGATTAAAAACACAGAGACAAGAAAGGGCTGGAGATGGACGACTTGTGATGTTCTTCAAATATTGGTCTTGAAACTGCAATCATTTAATAGTTTTACTAGTGTCCTTGGCATAAAAAGCAGGGGTTTACTCATGTAATTTGCCGACGGCACGCAGCAAGGAAGCACTGTTAGTCCAGGGGAGGCTTGGAGGGCCATAAAGGAAGAACTGGCTGTCCTGGCAGGGCAGGAGTTAGAGAAATGGGGTGCAATTAAACAGTATAAAGTGCAAGGTGAAGCACGTAAGGACAAATATTTGGAACGTCTGCTACAAGCTGGGGGCTCACTGGCGGGACAGGAAAGAGAAAGAGGACAGCCAGCGTGCACGAGTTAATCACGGACTAAACGACAAAGCACTAAGGTGATGCAGCCATGAACGAAACAAATATGATCCTAGGGTGGATCAAGGAAGGTGTTTCCAGCAGGGTAGCTTTGATGCCTTCTGCCCACGAGACCTCACTTGGAGTACGATGAACGAGTCGGCCCCCTTCCCAAAAAGACCAACTCGCACTGGAACAGCAACAGGGCTGGGTCTCCAGGGTGGTGAGAAGCAGGAGGAACCTGCCTTACAAAAGCAAACTCAGATCGCTGGGCTCGTTCAGCATAGAAGGGGTAACCATGAGGGAGGGACAAGAGCTATTTAAGTGACATGACAGTGAAGGCACAGGAACAAATGAGTATACAATGGCCCTGAATAAATGAGGACAGGATTGTCTGGGAAAAAAGAAGACTGAGTGGGGCGGGGGGGCTTGAATAGCCACTTCAGCTCCGTGAAGGGCAGCTCCAAA